TGCTTGCCGCACTCACGCAGCCTGTCTCATAATGCTCGTTTATACTCTCACCCGGCTTCGCACCGCAAGTCTTCACGAGCTCATCTGGCAGTATGGATGAGACTTGACGCACGCGCGCAACCTGGCTCCGCGTTTAAAACTAATGTAAATTCAGTCTAACTGCTTGCTAATTTCACTTGGATGAAATATTCAGCACATTTTCCACTTGCTCTTAAAATGAATAAATCAATGTAATACTTTAATAATTGACTTAAGAAATACAGTTCTTTATTTATAAAAAATAAACAAATATTTTCTGTGAAATTCAGTAATTAAGTTAATTCTGTAAAAGTAGTTATACCATTATAATCTTGACTGCTGAAAAAAACCCCGAACAATAGAACCCCTCCCAAAACACAATAAAAATTTTAATGGATTTCAGGGTTATAATGGGAATTTGTTTGGTTTTAATGTATACTATAATGGTGTCTATTTGATGGATTCTATTGGTGGGATGTAATCTGGCAGATGGCAACCAATAGAACAACAGTAATTCCTATTGGATTAATGCCCAAAACAAAAAGGAATTTTGTAATGGTTTAATGGAAACTATTTAATAATTAATAATTTCTGTGATGGTTTCTATTGTTTTTTTTCAGCAGGGTAATGATACCCATACTGTGCTGCACATTATTGACAATATTGAGCTGAAGCTTGACTTTGCAAATTTAAAATCACAAATCAAATCGCAATCGCAATATCTGTCAAAAAAATCGCAATTTAATATTTTCCCCCAAATCGCACAGCCCTAGTACTGACTGTATTTTTTCTTGCTGTATTGTTCCTGGTGTTGGGGCAGTGGTGGCCTAATGGTTAGAGAGTTGGACTTGTAACTCGAAGGTGGCGGGTTTGGGTACCAGTAGGAAATGTAGGTGGAGTGAGTGAATAAACGCTGCTCACTTCCACCCTCAAAACCTACGACTTAGGTGCCCTTGAGCAAACCTAACCCCCAATTGCTCCCCACAGCAAAAGTGGCTGCCCACTGCTTTGTGTGTTCTAGGGCTGGGTTTTGACATAAATTTCACGATTCCATTTGATTCTCATTCACAAGCTTTCTATTCGATTACCGATTCGATTCAATATTGATTATTTTGGCTATATATCAGGTACAGTACATGCCAAATTTTCTCAAGGAAAAAAAAACTAAACTAATGCTGTAAAATATACATGAGTCAACTGGTACTACATTACTATAATATTTAAGGTTAAAATTGACTAATTTGTTAAGATTACATGATTACATTGATGCTGGCATGGCGTTAAAAAGTGAATAGATCAATAATTTGTTTGTAATATGTCTTGTATGTCTGTCTGCCTGTCATTTCTATCTATGCATCATTCTACCTTTCTATCGTTCTGTCTGTCATTCCATCTGTGTCATTCTGTCTTTCTATCATTGTTGTTCCATCTATCCATCGTTTTGTCTTAGCTCCATCTATCCATATATCATATATCTGTCTGTCTATCCAGCATTCTATCTTTCTGTTGTTCTGTCTGTCTGTCTGTCGTTCCAACTATCCATCATCCATATTGTCTGTCTGCATATATGTCTGTCTGTCTATTTTTTTAAGGTGTAATTGCCCTTTCCTCCCATCTTTCAACACAGCGAGGACACTTCTTTTACAGTATGAATGTGAGACAGCCGCACAGGTAGTCTGAGAGAGACAGACCCTTACAGACAGGTGCAGAGAGACAGTTAGAACATGTCAGAGGAAGATCAGATAAGTGTCTTATTCACTCAAACATCAGCACAAAGCCTAATTCAGCCGTACACTCAGTATTCAAGGCACAGATCGTAGACTCTGAGCTTTTTTTTAAGGTGAAATGGACCACTGGTTCTCATGCATGCTTTTAGGTCTGTTATTTAGCCTCTAAATTTTTTTAATGGTGATCTCTCTCTGTTCTGCCCACAGGAGAGGGATATGGCTCAGGAGAGCAATCAGACACAAGTGCTCTGTTCCAATGGTTGTGGGTTTTACGGGAATCCGCGTAATAACGGCATGTGCTCGGTGTGCTACAAAGACTCCTTACAGCGACAGAACAACAGCAGCAGGTCAAGCGATCCAGGTCAGTCTGATGTATCGCAGAAAGACCCATTTCCAATACTTCTGTGTTGACAAGTGCTATTTTACTGTCAGAATATAACAGTATTTGATCACATCAGGGGATGGCATTGATTGGTTTTCAAAGTCAACCCAAAATGCTGTGCGTAGATTCTTTTGCTTTGTTAATGTAACATTTCTGAGTTAGCTTTGCAAATGAGTTGCAAAAGTAATAGGGGGTTGTGATTAAAAGGAAGGTCTTTTCAAAGGTGGAGGAAGTTATGTTTTAATGATGGACTGTAAAGACAAACTTTTGAAATATGCTTATTCATGATAAGATCAGAATCATGTTTTAAGAAAGTAGTAGTTTTTGCTAGGGGTGCTCCGATTGATCGGCTACCAATCACTATCAGCCGATAATCACGTTGGGATGATTGATCGGAGGTCTCTAAAAAGGCCGATCTCAAAAAATCGATCTCAAGCTGATGATGCACCTGCCATGAGAGGTTTGGCACGACATGCAGCGGCACCGTCTCAGTCTCTGTCCGGCGTGGGTGAAATAATTATAATGCTGAAGGTGAGGTACTCGCCTTCATATTTCTTCATTAAATAACTTGTAAAGTAATTTGAAAACCTTGTGAGATGTAATTTCACAAAGCGCTCGCCCGCTCTCCTGAAGACCGTGCGCTCATGCACACTTGCAGCGTACACACATAATGCCAGGTTCACATTACTCCATTTGCAGTTCGTATGTGGTGCATAATTTTTCCGCGCTCATGTTAACAGATTAATAAAGCGTGCACACTGCAGACGGTTGCGGTCCGGCAGTGCGTTCCAGTAGCGTGTGTCTGCAGCAGTGCAGAGATCGTTTCCGCACTGAGTCTATTTTTGAATTAAAGTAACAGAGCATTTTTTGCAGTAAATATGAACATGGATTGACACGAAATGTAGTAATTACACCATAAATGCATATTATTAAAGTCTACTGTGTTTCACAGTCAACACATATGGCTTTTTGGCTAGGTTTAAAGGGAAAGAGCACTTTTAGATAAACAAGGCAATAATAGATGGCACTCGTGGAGGTAGGAAAACAAAGTTCTTTATGAACCGCAGAATTGCTTATAATAAAGATAGGCAAAAGGAAAGGCAGTAGAGCTGACTATATCTGTCAATGGTAAGTTTGTGATAATATAAGAAAAGTAGTTTAAATGTTTTGCCACTTGCTTGAGCAACTTAATATACAAATCTAGAAGTAAATGCAAAAGTAAAAAGCATTGAATAATGTGTTGCTTATATTTATTGTTTTCACATTGTCTGTGAAAGATTGTATTACTGTACTGTGTAAAAAAAAAAAAGAATTGCAATGCTGAAAAAGCATTTTCAGTGACAATGTTTGGATTTGAAATCAAAATAATGGATAAACGTTATGTTTGTGGTAAACAGCCGCAGATCAGTAGCAGACTCCTGTGTGAAAGCTGCTTGCCCTTTCACAAGAGTCACCTAAGAGAGGAATTTCCCCCCCATTTTCAAAAATATATGCCCTGAATAAATGTCTAAAAATCCTGATTGGAGTATCACTATAAATAGTTATAAATGATCAAAAGAAGGCTTTAAAAAGATTGGTGTTGGAGATCGGTATCGGCAGATACTGCTTTCTGTGATCGGTGATCAGTGATCGGCCTCAAAAATCCTCATCGGAGCACCCCTAGTTTTTGCCATGAAAATAGCCTAAGATGCTGACATGGCATTAATTAAAAATACACTACTAATACTAAGAAAGTAAAAAGGGACAATAATGGCAAGATGTTGGTGGATTAATTACTGCTCGATTTAATGCTACCTTTCAAATGTTTGAGTTCAGGACATATACAGGTGCATCTTAATAAATTAGAATGTCGTGGAAAAGTACATTTATTTCAGTAATTTAACTCAAATTGTGAAACTCGTGTATTAAATAAATTTAATGCACACAGACTGAAGTAGTTTAAGTCTTTGGTTCTTTTAATTGTGATGATTTTGGCTCACATTTAACAAAAACCCACCAATTCACTATCTTAACAAATTAGAATATGGTGACATGCTAATCAGCTAATCAACTCAAAACACCTGCAAAGGTTTCATGAGCCTTCAAAATTGTCTCTCAGTTTGGTTCACTAGGCTACACAATCATGGGGAAGACTGCTGATCATTTGAAGCTCAAGAAACGTTTATTATTATTAATGTTGAAAACAGTTGATGCTGTATATTTTTGTGGAAACCTTGGAACATTTAAAAAAAAAAGTGACATCTCATTGGTCCAGTGTTAATTTCGTTGACATAATTTTCGTCAACGAGAACATTCGACATTTTTTTCACTGACGACAACGAGACGAATACAAACTAAAACTCTTTTTGAATGATAAAAACTGACACAAATTTATTGACCGAATAAAAACGAGACAAATGTTAGGAAGGGACGATTTGGGAAGGGATTTATTCAGAACGAATCTGCTACATAGTTAGGAGGTTAGATGCATACATATGAACCGGCGGGACATAAGCTAAAATACGCTTGCTGCACGTCTCATTAAACATTTAAAAATGTCAATATGTGGGAGTAAGAGAAGAGCAGACATATGGAGAAATCTGACGACGCAAGAGAGAACTCCATTCGGTCCGGTTTTCTGAGCGCAGACACTGAAGCATACACACAGAAAGCGCATCTCGCATCACACAAGTACTCTCTCGCGTCGCATGAACGGAGAATTACACACAAAATTATGTCGAATTGTATGTTTTGATGAGTATTCACGTAAACACAATTGATTAGGTCTTAAGTGAATGTAAACCGTAGGAAGAACGTGTATCAGTGCATTGCATCCATTGCAGCTGCGCATTCGGGTTTAAAGGGAAAGCAGCCTAATTTAGTTGCTATTGTCTGAGTCATTGATGTTAATCAAGCAACAAAAGAAAGACAGAAAATCACGCACTGCTCTTGACTGTAAAACTTTAGTAGCCCTAAAGATTAATCTAAATTTATTTATAGAAATAAATATGTCTGCTTGAATATTGACCGAATAAAAACGAGACAAATGTTAGGAAGGGACGATTTGGGAAGGGATTTATTCAGAACGAATCTGCTACATAGTTAGGAGGTTAGATGCATACATATGAACCGGCGGGACATAAGCTAAAATACGCTTGCTGCACGTCTCATTAAACATTTAAAAATGTCAATATGTGGGAGTAAGAGAAGAGCAGACATATGGAGAAATCTGACGACGCAAGAGAGAACTCCATTCGGTCCGGTTTTCTGAGCGCAGACACTGAAGCATACACACAGAAAGCGCATCTCGCATCACACAAGTACTCTCTCGCGTCGCATGAACGGAGAATTACACACAAAATTATGTCGAATTGTATGTTTTGATGAGTATTCACGTAAACACAATTGATTAGGTCTTAAGTGAATGTAAACCGTAGGAAGAACGTGTATCAGTGCATTGCATCCATTGCAGCTGCGCATTCGGGTTTAAAGGGAAAGCAGCCTAATTTAGTTGCTATTGTCCGAGTCATTGATGTTAATCAAGCAACAAAAGAAAGACAGAAAATCAAGCACTGCTCTTGACTGTAAAACTTTAGTAGCCCTAAAGATTAATCTAAATTTATTTATAGAAATAAATATGTCTGCTTGAACGAATGAGGAATATGGTAAAGAAGTTGCTATAAAGAGAGCATAATTAGCCTATATAACCATTGGTATTTCATTAAAAAGAAGATCATGTTCTTGTTCTTGTTTGTGAGAAGTGGTTTTATTTAATTTGAACATAAAGGCATGTTGTGTGTCACCGCAGTTAAATCGGTGTCTATCATGATAAAACCTTGAGATCAAACCTATGAGTTTGGAAATTTTAGAGAAATGCTTAATAAATGCACTGTAACTAAACCCATTAGATTTTAGCCGACTAAATTTACTGTAGATTTAGTCGACTAAAACTAAAAACAATTCAGATGACTAAAATATGACTAAAACTAAATGGCATTTTAGTCAAAAGACTATGACTAAAACTAAATCAAAATTTGCTGTCACTGCATTGGTCCACACCCATTTTTTTTATTTTAAATAAGCGCTAATTTCATTATTCTCAACAGCATTTAACCTTTATTCAGGGATGCAAAAAGTTCCTGTCGCTGGAAACTTGTCTGGTTGTTCCATCATGCCTGGTTGGGACACAGTAGTGTTTTACTGAAACATCTCAAAAAGCAAACCCTCACTTGTTCTGTTACTTTCATCAGCTTCTGAAGAATAAGGAGAACTTAAAATGGAAGTGTTGACATTTTGGGTTTCCTGCTCTTTCATTGCCTGCAGTGTCTTCCAGCCTTAGCAGTAAAGGAGAATCTATGACTGTACAATCGACGTCACAGCATGAACAAAACAGGTACAACATCTTCCTCTTTACCCACCCTTTCATCATTTCTCATAACAGTTGCTTAATTCATTTCAATTGCAAAGGATGTAGTTTGTTTGTGCAACTCTTATTTCAAAAGGGCAAGAAAAGGCCCCTTTCTTATTGAAGAGTAAACTTGTGTGTGGTAACTTTTGAGTGGTATGACTGTACATAATGTAGAAGCGTGTCAGCAGGTTTTGCACTGCTATTTATATAACAATAGATATATTTGTATGACTATCAGTAGGCAGTTCTACTGTTATTCTTTTTTGTGTTAAACTCGGGTATTACATATTATATGATGCCAAGCTTTTTTGGCAGACTTAATAGTTTATGAATAGTTTTTTTTTCATCCAAGTTCCACCAATGTGTGTGTAGTTTAGTAATATATTTTTGTGTAGATAGTTTTTGTATTTTTTTATTTATTTTTTGTCCATCTTATTTTTAAATGGTCTTTATTTATTTAATTTCAGTTTTAGTTATTTTAGACACATGAAGAGCCTCTAAGTGCCATTTGAAATTGTCTTCTAAAATGAGCATTTTTTTCTCAGGCTCCTACAGTATGTTTATGTTCAGTTATTTCATTTTAATGGAAGTGAAAAGAAACTATAATAGGGCTGTGAATCTTTGGGTAGACAGCGAATCGATTCGATTCAAGAACGATTTTTGCAAATTCAGAACGATTTGATTTACAATTAAATTCGATTCAATTTGATTAACGATTCGATTCTGTATTCTTTAAGCGCATTCACAGGATTATTTAAATGCTTCCCCTAAATTCTTTAAATGCTTAGTCAGGGGCACTTAGATATTTTACAGATACACTTTACACTTTTGTCCATTGTTAGATGCTAGTTTAATGATGCTATGGCATGACATGGCATATGTAGAAATTTATGTAAGACAAGAAAAAAAAGAGCTTTAAAAGTATTATGTACAGGTTAACATTTTGTCACACCAGGGGCGTAGCCATCATTTCAGATGTGACAGAAATGTCAAATACAATAATTTTATGTATGTATTATTATTTTTTTTACAATAAAACAAATATTTTCTTATCTCTTACTTTGAATTTGCTATAAGAAATCAAATACATTTCTGGACAATAATCAATCATTTGTAATCTATTATTTTTTCCTAATGGCAAATTTATGATTGTTTTATATACTACAAACAATTATTTCGATTTTCTGCACAGAATAAGGTAGAAAATATATTTTATAGTTTCTGTACTGTAATAAATGATTTGTCAATTAGCACTGCATGATTCATAAATTGTATTTATTTATTGTGTTTATTGTCTTAACGTTTCACCAGTTCATTCTGCTTTTTATTCAGCTTAGCTGCAGAGATAGCCTGGCACGCCTTAAGTTCTAAGCGCAAGATCACTTCTCTTTCAGTGCAAAAACTCATTTTCATAAAATAAAATGCTATATTTAACTTTTCCTCTCCATCGGCGAATGAAGATTCTGAAAGAAACCGCGCCCTATGTCTGTTTGCTATAGCAACGAACGCTACTTTCATGCATCTGATTATCAGATAAACCTTGCGCTCTTATTTCAAGGTTGTTGTTAAAGCTGTGGTTATTTGAACAGTTTCCTTTGTACAATCGGTTCAACGACATTGTTAAAACACATTTATCATTCAATGGAACTGTGCGTATGCTTTAGACACTTACATTTTTGCTCCGTCTGTGCAGTAAATGTGCAGCTTTCGACTGCTCAGGTAATGACGTCGGTATGACCGAGAGCCATTGAAAAACTACAGAAAAGCAAAACTACTTCGCTTTAGCATTACTGGCCACGAGTACTAAAGAAGAGATCACACATCAGCTGCTCAAAAAATGTGTCCGTGAGACGAACGGAGCGCGAGCGCAATCCTGTGACAGTCACCGGCGGTAAATAGTGCAGCACGTGAAGGAGAGATGCGAGGGCACAAAACACCGTTCAAGGTCTCCATTAATTCGTGCTTGTAGTAATTTAATGTGTATATATTTTGAAAGCATTGAATCGCTATGGAAATCGCAATTCATTCGATTCTTAGCGTTTTCAATTGATTACTGTCCGAAATCGACGATTCAAAAATCCATGTTTCAAGATCGATGCATTGCATCGTCGGGGTTTGTAATCGATGCATTGAGAAAATGAGTGAATCGTTACACCCCTAGAGTCTAATAAAAATGCTAATTCGAAGACAATTTCAAATGGCACTTCAACGTGTTGATAGAAAACCATTATGCCAGCTGTTAAAACTACAGTTTGTCTTTGGGGAAGTATGTGATGTTAATACATTTGAAAGAATCTGATATATTGTGAGCAGTCGCTGCAAATAAAATATTTGTGTATTTATTTTAGAAATCGTGAGCATATTGAGCTAATTTAGCTTTTGTTTCTATATGGCAGGCTTCGACTGCCGGTGCGGACACTTGTTTTGCAGCATCCACCGATACTCAGATGTTCACAACTGTAGCTTCGATTACAAGGCTGATGCAGCTGAGAAAATAAGGAAAGAAAACCCGCTTGTCGTTGGGGAGAAAATCAAGAAGATTTGAGTTGAAGATTGCAAAGATGTTTTTTTACCCTCTTTTCCTTGAAACCTTGAATTGTGCATGCTACAATGAAACACATACGCAAATTTATTTTGTCCCTTTGTTTCATTTTACCTCTCAAGTTTATTTACTTACAAAATACTGTGGTATGTATACCATGAAATATTTATATAATTAGTAATTTAATTTACATTTATAAATGGGTTTTAGTTCTCACATGCTGAGACGACTCTGGTGATGAACAAAGCTCGCATGTTAAAGCCATTGCCAGAATTTTTAGTTTAGTTTTTTTCAATAACGATTGTAAGCAAGAAAATGACATTATTTACGTAATATAAAAAAGATAAGGTTTTATCAATTTCTCTATTTGCTTCATCCTTGATTTAAAAAATTCAGAGGTTTATAAGTCATTTAAAATGCGACTGCGGTCTCTGGTTTAACAGGGTTTTTTTGGACTTCATTACAGACTGTGATTTACATTTTCCTCATAGTTCATTTATTAGAGTGAGTGGAAGTTGCGAGGGGTTTTATTTGTCTGTGTATTCACTGCATTAATATTCAATAAAGTTTTACACATCACACTGTAGTAAGCACTCTAGCGATTCAATTTAGCCAAGTATACAGTCTCCCTAGTTTGTTTAATGACATTATATGCGTGCTTATGCTATTAATATTAAAATGCATAATAAGACCGGCAACACTGCTGCAAAATCTTGCCATTAGTTTTATGGTGCACTGTTGTTTAAAGGTACAAATCATTTAAGTGGTTCGAAAACCGATTATACCTTAATTCATTATTATTATGATACAATACTTGCCTTTCAAGCGCTATAAATGATCTTTGACATAACCCTGTCCCTGACTTATATTTATGAATCATGAAACCATGAAAATAATGTCAGAGGACGTTAGGAAAAAGTAACATTTTATACAATGTTGTCTATCAAAATAGTCTCTGTTTGTGTTCTGGAAACGTTAGCTAATTTATAGTTACAAAAAATAAAACACTAAGACAACATTGTTACTGGTCCTTGATTCTGATTGGTTGAGCCGAGTTCGAAGTTGCTGTAAATTACTCCACAAACATACACCTTTGTTTACTTCTGTGTGTTGCTTGACAACCACTTTGTTGCAACCACAACCGTTTCTGAGGAACTACATTGTTTGGTGGAAGAATACTGTTTTTTATTAATATCATTACACTTTATTTGCTCCGTTTTATTTTGTGAAACCTTACTACGTATATGGAATAACCGTTTTATAAAAGCAATAAACCCCGTGAAGCCGTGGTTTACAGTGGATTTATAACAGCTTCGCGTCGTGCCTAACAACGCCCCTTAGCTGTTATAAATTCACTGTAAACCACGGCTTCTTGGGGCTTATTGCTTTAAAAAATAATAATGTTCAAGGGGAGCCTTTGATTGGAGCTTAATTAATGTCAGAAAATTGTGAAATATGGAAAACTGTAACAGTTTTTGCCGTACAGGTGCTGTAAATGATAATAACAAATATCCATTTTCGCACTAAGCTTACCCCTGGCTTTTGTAAACCTAAAAGTAACGTTCTTAAGATGTTAGGAATTAAAAAAAACTATTTTAAAAATAAGGAGAACATCCATTCTGTGTGGAAAATATGAGTATTCTGTTTTGTCCATCAAAAAACTCTCGTTAGACAATGTTCTTATTAGGTTGTCACAAAAAAAAAGAAAAAGAAGAAAGAACCGTTTATGGTTGCACACAACGTTCCTGGAACATTAGGAATTGGTTAAAGTAATGGGACCCATACCCTAACGTTCTGCGGGGGGCACTTTTCTGCTGAGTCACGTCGGATAGACGGAGTATACTAGACGTAGGGAGGATAGAAGGGCGCGTCTCTGATTGGCTCGCCGCTTCGACACGTGAGGCGCTAACTTTCATATGTCTCAAGTGAACATCTGGAAGAGGGTACTCGCGCTGCTGTTTACTCGAGGACTGCAACTTCAGCATGTCTTTCGTAAAAGTGGAGGAGAAAAGTGACTTTTCTTTTCACAACTTGCCTTACGGAGTTTTCTCCATGCCGGATAATGTGAGTAGCTTTATTCACTCCTGGGAATGAAAGTATGTTTGTCTGAACTGAATGACTCAAGTCTTGTTATGCAATAAGATCGTGTTTAGCTTTATAAAATGACTAAATGATGTTACTCAGAATATTAATACTTCCGCTGCAATCCTGTCCGGATACAAGGTTTCAAAGGTCAGAATGGACATTGAAAATCTGCATTCATGAATTTAAAGTAAACTCTTTTATTGACAACCAAGCTGTATTGGCACGATTGTCAGCGTTTATAATACTGACAAAGCATTTAGTATTTAACGTATTAAAGTAGTCAATATAAAGACATGCTGGAGAACATGATCTGCCATAAAAGCAAAGCAGATCCAAAAGGCATTCTGAAATCCATGCAAAATGTTAAATGCAGAAAGATACTTTTTAACTTGTATACAATGTTTGGATATAACAGCCCAGGCACAGAATTGGCGTTGCCATTGGAGACCAGCTTTTGGACCTCAGTGTTATCAAGCATCTTTTCAATGGACCGGCTCTTGTGCATCATCAGGATGTTTTTGAACAGGTGAGCTCCATATAGTTTTGTATTAAACATTATGGATTCTTTTGCATCCTTATGCTTTTTTTCTTTTTCTTCATCAAAGCCCACACTCAATGCTTTTATGGCTCTGGGTTATGATGCTTGGAGGGAAGCGAGAAAGTGCCTCCAGATGCTTCTGGCTGCAGACCAGTCCATGCTGCGTGATAATGCCAGTTTAAGAAGCCGGTAAATGTCCCTCATACAATATGGATATTTCATTTCGTTAGTGTACTTATTACTGCATAAGTGTGCGCTGCATACTGCCTATATGTAGAACAGTACATATGCAACATCTTAAACAGTAGTGTGCAACTATGCATTTATCATTTTTTATTTATTGTTATTATTTATTAATAATAAAATAATTAATGCAGTAATACTATTATTATTAGTTATTGTTATTTTATATAATTAGTTAATTCATTTATCGATTTAAAAGAGAAAGCGGAAGGAATGTTTTAATTATTATTTTATTTATTTTAAACCAGAAAGCTGCAAAAAGTTTTATTTATTTATTAAAATCAGGTAGCTGAAGAAAAGTTCATTATGGCATCTTGTGTGTGTGTGATTTGTGATCTCCAGGGCATTTGTTCAGCAGAGTTCTGCAACGATGCATCTCCCAGCTGAGATCGGTGAGTGTGAAAGTCAAACAGATAGCCTCCAACTCCATATTTCCATATAACAGGACCATATTTCATACACAACTCATGTTTCAACTCTTTTCCTCAATATAGATTTAAAGTTAACATTGCCTTTTGCAACAGTTTAACTTCCATCATCTAATATATTTCAGAATTAAACCGTAAATGCATCTAGAATAAATGTACAGCGGGACCTTATTATTATTTTATCCATAAGGAATTGATTGGATCATGAAAAGTGGTGTTATACAGCAGAATTAAGACTGTGAAGAGGGATCTCTGATGTCTGCCAAATGCAAAGCTGTGGCCGAGCAGGTTATTACGTTTTGATGAAAGATTATCAAGACAAACATTTTTCATTGGCAGAACATGCACTGGTCAATAATACATACATCAACACTTTGAAGTTGTCTTTAAAGCAGTCAATGCTTTCTGTATTGGCACGACTGTCAGCGTTTATAATACTGACAAAGCATTTAGTATTTAACGTATTAAAGTAGTCAATATAAAGACATGCTGGAGAACATGATCTGCCATAAAAGCAAAGCAGATCCAAAGGCATTCTGAAATCCATGCAAAATGTTAAATGCAGAAAGATACTTTTTAACTTGTATACAATGTTTGGATATAACAGCCCAGGCACAGAATTGGCGTTGCCATTGGAGACCAGCTTTTGGACCTCAGTGTTATCAAGCATCTTTTCAATGGACCGGCTCTTGTGCATCATCAGGATGTTTTTGAACAGGTGAGCTCCATATAGTTTTGTATTAAACATTATGGATTCTTTTGCATCCTTATGCTTTTTTTCTTTTTCTTCATCAAAGCCCACACTCAATGCTTTTATGGCTCTGGGTTATGATGCTTGGAGGGAAGCGAGAAAGTGCCTCCAGATGCTTCTGGCTGCAGACCAGTCCATGCTGCGTGATAATGCCAGTTTAAGAAGCCGGTAAATGTCCCTCATACAATATGGATATTTCATTTCGTTAGTGTACTTATTACTGCATAAGTGTGCGCTGCATACTGCCTATATGTAGAACAGTACATATGCAACATCTTAAACAGTAGTGTGCAACTATGCATTTATCATTTTTTATTTATTGTTATTATTTATTAATAATAAAATAATTAATGCAGTAATACTATTATTATTAGTTATTGTTATTTTATATAATTAGTTAATTCATTTATCGATTTAAAAGAGAAAGCGGAAGGAATGTTTTAATTATTATTTTATTTATTTTAAACCAGAAAGCTGCAAAAAGTTTTATTTATTTATTAAAATCAGGTAGCTGAAGAAAAGTTCATTATGGCATCTTGTGTGTGTGATTTGTGATCTCCAGGGCATTTGTTCAGCAGAGTTCTGCAACGATGCATCTCCCAGCTGAGATCGGTGAGTGTGAAAGTCAAACAGATAGCCTCCAACTCCATATTTCCATATAACAGGACCATATTTCATACACAACTCATGTTTCAACTCTTTTCCTCAATATAGATTTAAAGTTAACATTGCCTTTTGCAACAGTTTAACTTCCATCATCTAATATATTTCAGAATTAAACCGTAAATGCATCTAGAATAAATGTACAGCGGGACCTTATTATTATTTTATCCATAAGGAATTGATTGGATCATGAAAAGTGGTGTTATACAGCAGAATTAAGACTGTGAAGAGGGATCTCTGATGTCTGCCAAATGCAAAGCTGTGGCCGAGCAGGTTATTACGTTTTGATGAAAGATTATCAAGACAAACATTTTTCATTGGCAGAACATGCACTGGTCAATAATACATACATCAACACTTTGAAGTTGTCTTTAAAGCAGTCAATGCTTTCTGAAATTGACTGGTGTCTTTAAAGTTGTGCTGTAGAGTACAGAACTCGTTAATGTTTCATAAAGACCACTAGAGTGCACTGTTCACTAACTATCGCTGTCAGAGCCATTCATAACCCTCTCATGCCATGAAAGATTACAACCTTCTCTTTGTTCGGCATTATGGGTGTTGATGTTTTCTTGTTTTTTTCACTACAGCCATTTTTCTCTAATAGGGTAGCACTGATTTAAAAACAAACAAACAAACACACATTTCTATACTGCATAGACAGCCAGCTTTTATTAAAACCTCATCTTGTTAGCAGTGAATTACCTCACTAACTTATGCAGTTACTTTAGCATTTAATTTTTATTTATAAATATTTCAATACTTATTTATATTTTATAATTATTTATGATCATAATAATTATTGATCAGTCTTTCTTGCTCTTTAGCATGTAATTATGCATATAATTGTGTTATGAGCACACTTCATTAATAAATAAGGACAGATAGCTGCCGGTAGAAGAAGAATCGATAAATACAAGTTAAAAACCTTGTGATCATTGAAGGAATCTTTCTGCTCTAAACATTTTTTTCAGGATGTGGAAAATCTGGAGACTTTTGTGAAAGGTGGTTTTCATAGTGTCTTGATGAAGGAGTTATCCCAAAATTCAATTTATTTCTATACTACCAGACAAAAGTTTGGAATAATTAATTGCGAATTGAATAATTCATTTTTTTAAATATTTTTGAAAGAAGTCTTTTCTGCTCACCAAGGCTGCATTTATTTGATAAAAAACTAAAATATTGTTACAATTTAAAATAACTGTTTTCTATTTGAGGATATTTTAAAATGTAATTTATTCACGTGATGCAAAGCTGAATTGTCAGCATCGTTACTCCAGTCTTCAGTGTCTTCAGAAATCATTCTAATATGCTGATTTGCGGCTGTTATTATCATTATTATTGATGCTAAATGATTAATAATGTTTATTTTGTTTGCTATATTTAAATAGAAAACAGTTATTTTAAATTGTAATAATATTTCACAATATTACTGTTTTTACTGTGTTTGTAATCAAATAAATGTAACCTTTATGAGCAGAAGAGACTTATTTCAAAAACATAAAAATGGTAATTATTCCAAACGTTTCACTAGTAGTGTATATATTTATTTTTATGTAAATAATTAGTTTTTTTTATTTTGTCTGGTCATTCCAACACTGTATTACTTTCTTTTTCCATGAAACCTCTCTTCCAGACCTCATAAAATCTCTTTTAGAAACATTGCGTCAGATGTTGCATAATTTATACCAAATGTCATTAGATATCAGCTGTCACATGACCAATTAAAAACTGAAAATTACGATTGAGATTTGAGGGCAACAGCAGAGGTGGCGGTTATCGGTGAATAACTAAAATAAATGGAAGTTTCAGTCATAAATGTATAATTAATTTTCTCACACAAAGCGAGAGGATTAGTTACTGATGACAGAACTTTCATTTTTGGTTGAGATGTTTCTTTAAATGTAGTGCACCAGAAACAGAACTGAATAAACCTGAGCAAAAGTCTGATGCAGAGGGTTAAGAATATTTGAGAGAAATAGGCCTTTTGTGTACATAGAAAAAGTCTTAGATCTTTGAGCTCAGGTCATGACAAATGGGGGCAAAAACAAAAGTGTTGTGTTTATAATCTTGTTCAGTGTATAAATATACTTAATATATGAACATAACATTTTTCTAAAATATATACATGCATGAGTGTGTATTTATGTATACATAATAATTAAATACACACAGCACACACACATATATTATGTACACAAAAACTTTTATTTTGGATGCAATTTATCACGATTAATCGTTGCCCAGCATGTGTGTGTGTGTGTGTGAAGAATGAGATTTAAGAGTGAAGAGAAAGATTTTTTTCTCTGATATATTTATTAAATCTGCTATATATATTATGTATAACGATAAATGCAGCTAAATCTTACAACATTTCAATGCTTTTCCATTAAAGCCAATATTTGTTGTTTACTGTTTTTCTTAATATCTTCCTTTATGTTGTGGAGAACAAAGAAAGTCATGCAGGTTTGGGTTGGGACAACATGAGGAGTAAATGACGACAGAAATGCCATTTATGGATCTCTTAAAGGATGCAAAATTCACCCAGAAGATAAAAAGTCCCCCATATAAAGCACTGCTGGAAAGTTATGATGTGTTGTGGTAAAGGGAATGATATATTATCCTGTCTTGTAGGCTGCGACTGCCAGTGGGTTATCATGGGAGAGCTTCATCTGTGGTCGTCTCTGGAACACCAATCAGAAGACCTCGAGGACAGATGAGACCAGACGCAGGTAAACAAAACGTGGTGGATAAACCACAGACTCATCAACACAAGAAGCTCTTCTGTTGTAAATTTAGAATTTATAAAACTAGAAATAAACGGTATTGTTTCCGTTTGATTGTGCCTAAAGGAATAGTTCACCCAAAAATTAAAATTTGCTAAAAATGTACTCCCCATCAAGCCATCCAAGATGTAGATGAGTTGGTTTCTTCATCAGATTTGGAGAGTGTAGATATGTAGCATTACATCACTTGCTCACCAATGGATGCTCTGCAGTGAATGGGTGCAGTCAGAATGAGAGTCCAAACAGCTGATAAAAACATCACAATAACACACAAGTAATCCACACCACTCCAGTACATCAGTTAACATCTTGTCAAGGGAAAAGCTGCATGTCTTTAACTTCAAATTGTTGTTTTCAGCTAAAATAGTCCCCTATCCAAAATCTTGCTTTCGCCAGTGAAAAAATCATCTTGTCTGAATCAGGAGAGAAATCTGCACAGATCAAGCACTGATTACAAGCAAAAACAGTCCAAAACAATTCTAAACAATTTTGAGTGGATATTGATGTGAGAAAAGAACAGGGAATTTTCACTGGGGGAAGCATTGTTATGGATTATGGACTCATATTTTGGCCAGAAGCAACAGTTTAACACCCAATCTCATGTTAATCTTGAGTACCTATAGAGTAGTCATGCATCCTTCATATCTCCAAAGAGTCTTTAGTTTTATCATATTTATGAAAGAAAGATACAGCTTTACGATTTTCTCTGAAAACAGCCGAGATCCTGGAGCTGTGCCGTGGGCGGAGCTAAAGAGTGATGAGCACTTGAGCGCCTGTTGCCAACAAAATGCAGAAAGATGCAGTTTCACTTACTGCCTCAGTTTGCGAATCATGACCGGGATCTTTTATAACTGGGACCGCTCCATCTTTCAGTATCAAACGATGTGCAAATCCAGTGCCGCACTAGGCCTTGTTTATAATATTTTCGCATATACACTTGCAAAACTCTGTTGCTGCCCCGGAAAAACAAACTGCATCCACTGTTTACATAACACTGTTTACGTAACAAGGATTTCCACCCTTCGTGATGTCATGCTAAAAAAAAAAACGTTCTAAAACTTATACAAAACCATTGGCACAGAAAAACTCCGTTCTGCATCCAAATCGTTATTTGTTTTTTCAACTTTGGCTATGTTTAGCATGAGAATCCAACTCTTTAAAGGTGGGGTAAGTGAATTCTGGTAGCCAATGTTGATATTTTAAATCACCAAAACAAACACGCCCCTACCCCAAAAGGGTCTCGACCCTATTTTGATAGCTCTGCCCCACACATATGTACGCAACCCATGCAACGATGATGGCGGAATCTACTGTATTAAACATATTATCTTACTTTTCGGACACACTTTGGGAGCTGACACTTGAAACAGACAGTGGAGGAGGTTTAGACGCTCCAGGCTTATAGGGTGTGGAAATGAATGTGTCTTTATCATTGCTGAAGGGAACGACAATACGATTGCAGATGAACAAACAAGTGATCATGACACACGAGCATATTCAAGCAAAATCCAGCATATATTAGTTCTGTGAAACAAAGCAAAACCAATGTTACTCACCCATCGAGAAGAAACAAAGCAACCTCGTCATCCGATCATAGGCCTTCCCGCTCATTGAGTTCTCTCCAGCGCTGGAAAGCTGATCCGATATTTACACGGGTCCTACTTCTTGCCTTATCATAAGCCTTCTTTTGTTCCGCAGACGTTTTCCTCTTTTGTTTTTTATCCGCCATCTCTATCTTTCTGTCGCTCGGCTCGCTAATGTCCGACCTGTGCACTGAACGCTCTCTCCTCCACATCATGAGTAGACACGCCCCTTACTGCTGATTGGCTACAAGTTTGTTTTGGTCCTCGGCCCGACTCGTTTTCTAAAGCGTTTTTGAAAAAATACATACCCCACCTTTAACCGTGTAAATAACTCAACATGCATGAAATAGCATTAGACTCCCCCTTTAAAGTTAAAATGTTTTGTTTCTTACAAACAAGCAGCTTTTCACTTCTCAAGATGTTAACTGATGGACTGGAGTGATGTGGATTATTGTGATGTTTTTATCAACCGTTTGGACTCTCATTCTGACGGCACCCATTCACTGCAGAGGATCCATTAGTGTAATGTACTAAATTACAAAATTACATTTGTAATGCTAAATTTATCCAAATCCGGTGAAGAAACAAA